TCTTATAGGGGACTAGTTTAAAACCCGTGGGAACCACGTATAAATATTTTTAAAATTGTATTAAATTAATAAGATTTAAATTTGTTTTAAAACTTTTGTATTGATCATTTAAAATTAATATATATATATATATATATATATATATATTATATAATATATATATATATATATTATATATCCGATATATATTATCTATGCAAAGACATTTAATATAATGAGGCAACGGATGCATTGCTAGGTGAAGTTGCTTAAAATTTATAATTTGATTGTTAGACAAATTTATATTTTTAAATAAGTAAATATATAATATCCCCTAATTTTGATAAAAAAAAAATAAAACAATTATATATTTCTACATTGCATGAATTGTCCCTGATAAAAATAACAATTGTGAACAAATTGACTCTTAAGAGGCAGTATTGGAATATATTACAGTTTTGTACATAATATAAGGTTATTATTTGAGTTACAGTTAAATGTTTTAAAAAATGAAGTAAGTGAATTAAACCATTACCCTCAAAAAAACATATTCAGTAAATGAAGAATATAACCCAAAAGTGTTGATAGTACAAAATTCACCACAAATGTTTTTTACAAGATGGATACAAATAGAAGTGAAATATTTTATTTCTTAGAAATGTATAAGCATTTGATACGGTTGCTATGATTTTGATATTTGAAGTAGTTGAAGGCATGAAAAGCTCTTTCAAATAAGTGGGATATGGGCTAACTAAGATTTTAAGATTTGTAACAGTTTAATATATTTTCACATAATATATTAAACATAATATATTTATTAAACACCCAACTTTTACTTCCTGTCAATGATTTCATTTTAAAAAATACAACAACATATAATGAAAGTAGGATGCTACCATTTGCAGGAATCGTCCTTATAAGTAACAGTTGCAGGAATTGTCATTACATTACACAACAGGACCATAATATGCTACATCATGTGTTGTGCATTTTGTCTATGATTTTCAGTTTGACACGGTGGCTCAACGTTTAATACATTTCCGGAAAGTAAAAAAATCAGATATGCATAAATATATACTACGTACAAGTTATCAAATCAGTTTTTTACCGAAAATAGCATCCTACAATGAAAACATATTTGGAGATATCTTCTTATTTCCTGTTTTGCCCCTTGTTAAAAAGATAGAAACAATTGTTCTTATTCCCCATCTTCATCTCAGAACTTTACCATTTTTGGTAAAGTTGAAAACATAAAAACAGATAAATAGCATTCCTATTTATCAAATAAAAGTAATTTCATTGAAAAATTTATGGATATATGTTAAACAAAATACATAATATGTCACTGTGTTTTGCTGAAATAGCATATCACAAAAATGTAGTTTAAACAGGAATGATAAAATCTTTATTTTTACAGCAAGGATAAGAGTTATTTAACTTGCTATGGCCATAAAGCTCAAAATTCCGATTGTATACAACTTCACATCAATGAGGTAAATCACAAAACATGATGCTTTAAATGGAAGAAATAATAAAAACATTATTGGTTTATATAATAAACTTATCTTTAAAAAAAAAGTTGAAAATGTTAAAAGCAAACAAATGAGAGGACAATAATGAAAAAAATAACATGTAGATTCTGGGTGGAAAAGTTAAATGAAAACATGTTTGGAGTAATCTTATTTTTTCCTCTTTTTGCCCCTCGTTAAAAATATAGAAACAATTGTTCTTACAATACTTCACAACTATGAGGTAAATCACAGAACATGATGATTTAAATGGAAGAAAAAAAAGCATTATTGGTTTTTATAAACTTGTTCATCTCAGAATAAAAAAAACATTATTCCCCATCTTCATCCCAGAACTTTACCATTTTTGGTTAAGTTGTAAACATAAAAACGGATACATAACAATGTATTTAGAATGTTCAATAAATTTGATTAATGAAACATGAAAAACAACGATGTTAAGATGAATATAGTAACTTAAGAAGTGAAACATTCAACCAAGAAACATATAGATTAGCAAAAAAAAACATATAAAATCAAAAACATAATCAGACATCTAGAGTATAACGATTCGACCAATAAACATATACATTAGTAAAAACATATAATTTTGAAAAAAGCATCCTACACATATTAAAAGGATTCGACAAAACCGAATGATGAGAACGCTGATCTTTTTTTGCTTATGTCTTCTACGGAGGATTTGTGACAGAAAGTCTTTGTAATCGATTACTATAAAGAACTGAAATATTTAGCCATAAATATAAATGATAATGTGCAAGATAATCAATTCAAATCTAATTTAAAATAGAAAATATCATGGTTGAAATTGTATATGCTAATATTAACCGCCAGATTATTTGGAATTTGAAATTAATAGTTTCGGAGATAAGATTTCAAGGTTATAGGAATTTCAGAGCTTATCAGTTTCTTTTTTGTAGGGATTCGTATTTAATGATTAGATGTATTTTAGGCCGAAATTGAAGAACGTTTATGGTAATTAGTTCAACAAGGTATGCAATAAAATTATATTAAAATGGCAGATCGGTTACAAAAATACGGATCAAACGGAAATATCGAAAAGAAGCCGGGGTATAAGAGTAATTTGACTTTTTCGAAAAAATGGATGTAGAATGGACACATGGCAATTAAGGATTCTTTTATTAGATTAGAGATTTTATATATATATATATATATATATATATAGATATATATATATATATATATATATATATGGAAGAGTTATTTGGAAAACAAAAAACCCTAAAAATCATAAAAATGCATAAAAAAATACTTAGAGATTACAAAACTTTTTTTTTAATTTTTTTTAAAAAAAATCGCAGGTTTTTTAATAAATTCGCTGAAAAAAAAATCAAAAATAAAAAAAAAATTTAAAAATTAAAAAAAAATCAACGAATTTATTTAAAAACATGAGATTTTTTCATAAAAAATTTTTTATGGTCTCTAAGTATTTTTTTTATGCATTTTTAGGGTTTTTTGTTTTCCATAGAACCTAAACCTATATATATATATATATATATATATATATATATATATATATATATATATATATATATATATATATACCATTAAGGGTATAAAAGCTTAGGTACCCAAATTCACCATACTACGTCGTTTTGTATCATATATATATATACATTGTAATAGTCCAATATTCTTATAATTAAACTTCTAACATGATTTACTTCCAAGATTTTTATAAATTTCACATTTATCTTCCTTTTACATAATTTTCATTTTCAACTATAATATATATAGCCTAGTAGGTGTTTGGCAAAAAGATGTGATGCAAGAGAAAGATAATAGTGAAATTTTGAAAATCTTGAAAATAAATCAAGTTAGAGATTGAAGTTTAAGAAAAATATAATGAATATATCAAATAAAACGACGTATTATGGTGGTTTGGATACCTAAGCTTATATACCCTTAAGGATATATTCACTTTTTATCATATATAAGAAACCTATATATATATATATATATATATATATATATATATATATATATATATATATATATATATATATATATATATATATATATATATCTATATATAGGTTTCTTATAGAAATAAGATTTGATATAATAAAATGTAGTTGGTTGATGAATTTTTCCTTGTCGGTTTTGTAATTAAAACCTCATTTTTTCCGTTTATATACTTTACATTTTGAGTTTCTTTGTGTGCTTTCAATTTATGGGATATTTTTGATGATCTTAAGATTTGCATTTTAGTTAATTTTGAGAGATTTTTTTGTCCATCATCCTACTTTATCGTATTGTACTATAAAAATATAGTTTCATAGCACCTTATTCCAAGCAAGTTTTTTCTACTTTTTTTCATGTAAATGAGAAGAAAAAAAGTTTTTTTAGTTGGAATGGTTTGTTATTTGACTTGGTTCGAGTGCTAGATGACCGAGTTATGCCGGATTAAGCTTATAATCCTAAGTTGAATGATTGATTGAACTTCCAGATGTAAGAAAAAAAAATCAAACCTAATTTTCAATATTTATAGAATTCCTTTTAAGATATTTATTTTAATATTTTATGTCTGGCAGAAAATTTTGTTTACATATCTTGGTTGCCAAAATTGTTGTTATTTTGGATTATTTATCTTAAAACTTTGGCAAAATATGCTTCATGACAGGTCAGTTTGTAGACATTCTTTTCATTAGACACTAAAGGATTGCTTGATAATTGTTTATTATTCTTTTCGATAGACACTAAGGGGCCGTTTGATAGTTGCTGACTGAGAAAGTGCTGATTGAGAAAGGTCTGTCTGAGTAATAAATTCTGACTGTGTAAGAAATCATGCTGTTTGATTTTATATGTGACTGAATGTGCTGACTGATGCAAAATGACCATTTTACCCTGGTACTTTTTATAATAATAATAATAATAATAGTAATAATAGTAATAACAATAATAATAATAATAATAATAAAACTTCCAGCACAATAGACATTAAATATACTATTTTAGATATTGAAACACAAAAAACTCTTTAGCTTGCTGGTAAATGCTTTTGTTTGTATATGGGATACCTGAGTTCAATTCCTGTAACCTTCATTTTTATCCAAGGGCAAGGGTATTATTGGTAAGCCTTGCTTTCTTTTTCAGTCAGCCTTCTTCCAACTGCTTTCTCGGTCAGACGTTTCTTACCGAGTCAGATGACCAAAATTGGATTATCAAACACCTTTTGCTGACCGAGTCAGCCAAAAACATCTGATTTGACTCGGTCAGACGCATATCAAACGGGGCCTAAGTAGTTGTTTGATAATTGCTAATTAAGTCAGATCTGGGTTAGAAGTTCAGACTAAGTCTGCCTCTTAACTGGACCATGTTATTTGATTATATACATCTCACTGACTGTGTTGAATAATAAAAATGATCATATTACTCTTCTATTTTATTTTGTGTTGGATAGAATGTATGTGTTTGATAAAATGATTGTAGAATGTTATAATTGGATGGATTTTCAAAGTACAATGTCCCGATGAGAAAAAAAAATTAAAGTACAATGGTATAATAAAGGAAAAATTGAAACTATAAGTTATAAATGGATGGATTTATCAAAGTACAATGTCCTGAATAAGAATAAGAAAAAGAAACAAACTTATGAAATTAACCATTTTGACTTTACAACAAAATGCATACACCACTATACATGTGCCATGAAAAGAACTCGAGTTGTATGTCCTCTAAGCTCAACCATCTTAACCATTTGGTATGAACGTATCCAACTACACAAAATTAAACAAAATAAACCTTAAATCACCTCTTGTAACCAAACTCATCAAGATGTAAGAAAAAAAACCTTTAAACAAAACAATCGCGAAAATTAATATTGCATTCGCACAATAAAGTTAACATTTATCACATAAACAAAAAACATTTTTAAAAGAATCTTCTTCTAAACAAAAAAACTGAAGGTCAATATAAACTATTTATTGTAATTATATATTTTAATGTTATAAAAAAAATCACTCTATTGCTTTTACATCGGTCAACCTAATCAACCGGCAGCTATAGCTCTAGTTTTTTCTCTTTTTTTTGACAAAAACCAATTAATTCTCAATTTTTTTTTATTTTATGAAAAGTAGTTTGAAATTTCGAACTGGATATTGATTTTCGAATCTACTTTTCCAAAAAAAAAAAAAAAAAATTAAAGTTCGGCATGAGCAACACTACTCCCTTACAATCTTTTACAATCTGATGATTACTAATTTCCCAAATCCACATGTCTATTTGGAAAATGTAATCTCCCAATTTTTCATTAGAATGACATTAGTAGATTTTTACAAAAAAATTTCAAAATACAATTTTATTATAGAAAGACATATGTAAGATAATACAATAAACAAATAAAAAAACCGTTCAAAAAAACAAATCAATAAAAATACATAACACAAATCAACCCAACGTAAGATTAAATTCAACACCCGTGGTTGCAATGAATTTGGAGTTTTTCACAAAAGAACACACATCATGGTCTATTTGCAATGCTTTCAATATAACCCTAGTGAATTAACCAAACGAAACTGTATCTCATATACCAAATAAGATCAAACAACACATAAATGATAAATCACAGTATTTCAGAACAAACGAGGTAAATCACAAGAATTAAAAATGTGATATTGATACCTCAGTAATGGGAATTGGTCAATGATCTTTTCTTTTTGTTGAGCGAACTACTTAGAGATGCTTTCGCCTTCTTCCACTCTTTCATGGAAGCTTCAGTCCTCATGAACGGGCATGTTTCTTCGGATTCTAAGTTCCCAATAATCAAACTTCTCTTTCGTTGTGAACTAATTTCTTTCCTCCCAGTTGCCTTCGCAACGACTCCAGTTCGGGTCGGATCCTTAATCGGTGCACCGGCCTGCGGTTCAAGGGTTTGGAAACTTAAATCGGGGACAATCTCTGAAATACTAAAAGAACTTTGGCTCGATGAGCTAATCAGTTGGGTCCATGAGGATTTATGCCGCCACGAGTCGCCTCGAGCTACTCGAATCAAATCTTCTTCGGGTTTTGCAGGTGAACCCTCGGTTAGTTCCTTAAGATCCGCGTCTTTGTGCTCGGAATCAATTGAATGAATGTCCGATTCGTTAGTTTGCAGAGAGTTAGTTTTCCTTGTTTTCTCTCTTGTTAATTTTCCCTCTCCATCCATTGTCACCTTACACAGAGACGAAAGCAAGTTGATAGAAGAGGGAAATGCATCCAAGGACTTAGGTTACGTTGTTTAAGAGCGCATGTGATGGGCCGGACCGGGTCGATTAACAAAGATAATTAACCCATTACCCATGACATCTCGGACACAAAAACCTTAATTAGAGAAAGGTTTATCCTCTCTAATAAATAATAGATAAATAATTGTTTTGTTAAATTCATTTTCTATAATTTTGAATCATTTACTTTTCACACGTTATTTTCTAATAAATAAATAAATAAAATTTTGGTCAAATGTTATATTTTCATTCAATTGGTTATATGACATTTTGTGATAATTATGATTTATTTACTTTCCATATATCATTATATGATATATTTTGTAAATTCAGCAATTTAATTATAATTTTACATAATAATATTAAGAAAAAAACATCATAAATGGTCCTTGTGGTTACCGAAAATTTGAAGTTTAGTCCCCGTGGTTTAAAAACCTCATAGATGGTCCCTGTGTTTTCAAAATTTTTAATGTTTGGTCCTTTTTGCTAACTCCGTTAGCTTTCTACCGTTAAATGAAGGGTATTTCCGTCATTTAACTATCCAGGGACCTTTTATGAGGTTTTCTTTTATTTTATTTATTTTAAAAAGAAAAAAATAATTAAATTTAATATCCAATGGGTCTCTCTCTCTCTCTCTCTCTCTCTCTCTCTCTCTCTCTCTCTCTCTCGTTTTGCCATTACTTCCCCGTTGAAATCCTTTCCCATCTACTCTCTCTACTTAATTTCTTTTTCTCCATCCACCACAATATGCCGACCACCGCCTCAAGTAGGTCATCATCGCCGATTTCAACATCACACGACTCTCCTCATATTTCAATTCTGATTTAGGTTTTCATTTTAGTGTAGCTTCTTCTTTAAGATCTGTTATCTTCAATGTCTAGGTGACTCCGATTTAGGGTTTCAGAACCCAAGACGGTGGCTCCGGTGTGTAATTAAGCTTTCAGAACTACAAAAGATGATGATTTTCCTTTGTCTCGTTCAATCCACCGATGTCACTCAAATCATTGAGCTCAAGAAATAGTGCAAAAACAAGATGCGAAAGTGTCTCATGTGGTTTGATCTAATTTACCTTGGACTTGGCTCCGTTGCGGGCTCTGAGATCTTCGCTGTAACCGACATTAAAGCTTGAGACGACACCGGACCCTCAATCGTCTTGTCTTTTTCTCTAAGTGTCTCAAATGGGTTTGTTTCATATCAAATTAAATTCAAAGGTTAGGGGTCATGTGTACTTGGTCTTCAACTTAATTGGAAACAAGTTTTGGATATAAGGAACATGTTTTTTCGAGATGAAAAATAGATGCAATATGTTTATATATGGAGAACAAGATTTTGGAGATGAAACAAATATTCCACAGGTCAGAGATGAAGAATATGTCAGCAAAATCGATTTTTTTAGTGTTTGAACTATTTTTGCAAACTAGATTCATTCTTAGGTTGAAGCTAGATTTGAGAAACTTGATTTCAAATTTAGTTTTGGCTTGAGATATCGATTTACATTCGATGTTCTGCTTTTGTACAAACTATTTTTGGTTTTATTGGGTTTGATCGAGCTTCAAAACGTGACCTGAAACATGTACAATTGAGAGAGAGAGAGAGACCCATTGGATATTAAATTTAATTATTTTTTTCTTTTTAAAAAAAATAAAATAAAAGAAAACCTCATAAAAGGTCTCTGGATAGTTAAATGACGGAAATACCCTTCATTTAACGGTAGAAATCTAACGGAGTTAGCAAAAAGGACCAAACATCAAAAGTTTTGAAAACACAGGGACATCTATGAGGTTTTTAAACCACGGGGACTAAACTTCAAATTTTAGATAACCACAGGGACCATTTATGATGTTTTTTCTAATATTAATTATATTTAAGGCTTTCTACACCCTTCCACATTTAATTTCCTAAATTTAAGCCGTTGTAAGTAATCCAGTTTTTTTTTTTCATATAATGAATGTTTTATATTCATTATATGGATTTAATTTTGATATCTCATCAATCATGTACTTTCATTTCTATTTTAATGATACAAATTTTCATACAAAAATCGTATCATACATATAACAATTTCAAAAATTAGATTTCAATTTCATATATATATATATATATATATATATATATATATATATATATATATATATATATATATATATATATATAATAGGGAATACACATTACAGCCCCACCTAAATTTAGGTACTAAACATCTAAATTATTCACTTTTATCTTAGTAAATATAACTGGTTCAGTTTTCACTTAGTAAATATACAATTCCCCATTGCATTTTTTTTCTCTATTATCGTTTAACCATCTATGTTTTTTTTCTCCATTATGGTCTATTAGTTCATGTCAGTGAACATTACTGTTTTCCACCATCATGAAGGTCAAAGATAATTAACATTTTTTTCTTTTCTATCAAAATATTCTGCAACATCAAGTGTTAATTATGAATTCCTAATTGCAATCTTTAGCTAATAAAACGATGTAGTTTAATAAGGTTTAGTATCTAAGCTTAGGTGAGGTTATAATGTATATTCACTTTGTAACACCCCGTTTATTTATTTAATAAATAAATAAATTACTGAAGGAATAATAGCCTAAAATCCATAATAATTGAGCAAGGTGTTGGCCTCGAGGAGTTAAAGGTCATAATTATAGAAGTCGGGGGCTAAACGTGAAAGTTTTGGATTGGTTCTGTAAATAATTATGAGGGCAGGGACTACTTGGTAACCTATTGGGACTTAATTTGAAGAGATTTTGGAGGCTTAGGGACTAAATTGTAGCATATAGAGCTGAATTGTAAAGATTTTAGATGGCGGGGGTTAAAAAGGTAAAATATTGATCAATATCGAATTAATTTGGAGCTGGAGGGACCATTTTGGCCATTATGGCAAACTTTAATAATGGAGTCGGGTATATAAGGTTTTGTAACCCTAACCCTAGCAAAACCCTTTCCAGCCGTCACCCCTTATGACGCCCACCGGTTGCCACCATTCCTCCATGTTTCTCTCTATCTCCAGCCGCTGCTGCTGGCTCCGACTACCCAGCACCGTTGAATGGCCCACGTCACCGGAAGTAGTGAACACCGAAGAAACCAGGGAATGGGTGCTTCAACGGTAGAGATTTGGAGATGGATTTGGTGTCGTGGGTGCCACCGATTCGAGACTTCATAGCCGCCATTCAAGACGGAGATCGCCGGAGCCGACCCCTCTACGTCGGGAGCTGCTACTGTGGACCGCCACTGCCGTTGAGGGTCGCCATTGCGACGCTGCTGCCGGAGAAGCAAGCTGGGGAGGAGCCCCGTCGTTGGTCGAAGTCCACTGCCACCGATCCCTCTTCTTCTCTTCTTCTGTTAGACGTCGCCTGCTGCCTCGTCGTCAAAAGGGTCGTCGTCCTACCCATCCCCCGCCGCTTCTTCCGTTTCACGATCGTGGGATTGTCTGGTTGCCGCCATCTTTTGCTGTTATGCCACCACCATCCGCCGTGTGGTGGCTGTGTGCGTGCTAGGGTGTTGGTGTTCATGTGTTGCGATGCTTTAGGACTCCATGTGTGCTTCTTGGCCGAAAATCCAAAGGAAGACCCCACCGCCACCACCGTGAGGTGGTGGCTGCCGCACGCTACCGCCGTTTGCCACCATTAGGTGGTTATGTGTGTGTATGTGTTTAGCTTAGCTGTGTGTGTATTATTTTGGGATTAAAGCCTTGTAAATTGTATTAGAAAAATGAAATAATGGAAAGAAACCCTAACCACCACCGTGAGGTGGTGCCTGCCGCCTCCTGCCGCCGTGTCTTGTGGAGGTGTGCTTAGTTTGTGTGAATTGCTTTTAGGATGTTTGGACAAAGGGACTAGTGAAACCCTAGTGGGCCCAATGAAACCCTAATGGGCCCAATGAAGCTCTATTGGACTTAAAAGCCCAATCATGTGACTAATGGGCTTAAGGAAACCCTAATGGGTCTAATGGACCTTAATTGACCTAAGAAAAACCCTAATGGGCTTAAGGACATAGGTATTGGGCCTATTGGGCTAATATGGGTTGGAAACCCTTATTAGGGTTTGGAAAACCCTAGAGCCATAAAACCCTAAAGTGGGGCTTATCGGGACCGCGTCAGAATTATTTAATGAATTTAATATATTAATTAATAATCATTTCAAATTAACCTAAGGTCATGTGGGACTTAATGGATTAAGTAAGAAGCTTAACCCTAATCATCATTTTATGTGAAACCCTAATTTCACTTGGGTTTATTATTGGGCCTTTCAATTGGGCCTTGATGATTGGATTATTAATGGGCTATCCAAGAATAATCATATGGACTAGAATATGTTGATGGGCTCAGGGTAAGGCCCATATGAGGGTTAAGGCCCAATTTGAAAAATTAGGCCATAGATGGGCCATATCTTGGGCCTTAATGATTATATGATGTTGGGCCTTAGAATAAGCGCATGTATAGGCCTGGGCCCAATTTGGAAAATTGGGCCATATGTTGGGCTTTGACTCCCAGTTGATTTTGGGCCTATGGATTGGGCCTTGGGCTTGAATAAGCCAAACTTGGGGTAATGTAGTAATTATCCAAGTAGGTACTTATGATTATGTAGTGGAACCCAATTATTAATTGGGTGATGTTTTGATGTTGACAGTTCGGGAACCTGTCAATCAGCACTGGAGTTTTATCTGCGGGACTTCAGCAGTGCCAGGTGAGTCTTCTCACCATACTAATGGGTCTAAGGCACCAATGCCGGCCCATTTATTTAGTTGTGATGATTGTTGCGAATGTGCCATTGGAACATTATGCATTATGTGAAGACCATGTGGGGGTTCCCATGGAAAATAGTTATATACGCAGTATGCTAGTAGATTGTGTGGTATTTGGTATGCTAGTTGTCTTTGTGATACTTGCATGGAAGACCCCGGGGGTTCCCGAGGCAGTGGATATAAGACCATGTGGGG